CCAGTAACCTCTTGACCTAGTGGATGTGGCGCCATCCTCGAGGGAACGCCACTCAGCCGGAAAAGTCTGTTTCTCTGGGCTGTGAATTAGGATGGACTTCCGACTCCTCTAGACTTGTAGTCCTGTCGCGCGCGCTTTTAGGACTCTCGATCCGTGGGCTTATGAGGCTGCGTCGGGTCCGCTTGTTTTATTGAAGACGAAATTATTTGAAAGTATTCTCCTCGCCACGATTAATTGCCTTTTAAAGGCGGAAGAAAATCCTGAAATTGTTTTCTCTTTTAATTATGAGTATTTTTAATAAGCAATTGTATGAGCAAATTTCTGTTTACGACGTAGGTACAGCCGCTCGTTCTACTCGACAATTGAATTGAAAATTTTTTAAATGAATTTCAGGAGGTTAAATACGTAGCTAAGATTAATGTTATCACGAAAAAGTGCTGAAAGTTGATTTTACAAGTTTTATAATTTGCAATTTTCTGTACAAATTTTAGGTAGTTCATATTATCATTCTCATTGGCACATATCCACATCACATCCAAGCGAAAAACTCTCTTTATGAATTAAAGAACATTATTTTTATGTTTATTATCTATTAATATATAATACTTTGAGTAATATTAAGTATTTTCAATTTTCCTATTTTATTGGTCAATTATCAGGATTTATCTTATTATAAAGTAATTATGAAAAGAAATCAATATCCAATCGTTAGTATAAATATTAAAAATTTATTGAACCTTAGGAAGAGCTGGAATACAAGTAATAATTACTTCTGCAGTCGTATTGCGAATAGTGTAGTTCTTATCCTTTGTACGAATGCTCTTCAATTAGAACGTAAATTAGAAATTGTAATTTATGGTACTGACCAGAGAGAAGGAGAGGGGGATGGAGATATATATATATATATATATATATATATATATATATATAAGAGGGAATGAGCGAAGAAGGAGAGGGAGGCAGAATAGAGTGAAAATGAAAGGGGGAGATTGTTACGTCATCGAAGTAGAAGGAAATATCGTGATATCGATCGATTCTCCCCTTGGCAGCTTCGAAAGTCTATCAAATGCTAAGCTAACAGCCTTAGTCGAAATCAATTCAACTGCACAATGAACTTTTATTTCGTATTGTATCTTTTGAACTTTATAAATTGAGAAAAATGACATGCAATATTAGAATGACTTATTCGGCCTCGAGAATAACATTTTATTACAGTTAATTTCTTCGAGCACCTCTATTTTACAAATGAATAAATCTTTTGATTATCATACAAAGTCGATTTATTCTCTAATGAAAAATACTTTTGTGCGCGATGTTGAAATTTTCAGCTCGACATCTTGCATGCACATGATTACATAAATCTCATTGCATGTATATTTAAAAAAATTAATTTGATTCGAATATCCTCTGCGTGTGACTTTATTTTTATTCTCATTCAGCACTGAAACATAATCCTATATATATATATATATATATATATATATATATATAAAGAAAAAAATTTTAATTTATAGCCTTTAACAATTATTTCAAATTGTATTTCAATAATGCCTTAATAGCAGAAGTAATGTCTTATTAGTAAAAATATTTTGTGAAGACAAATAAAACAGCAATTTAAATAAATTTTTCACATAACTTTTAATTATCGCACGTCTACTACGCTTTCAAATGAATAAGTCAATAAATGAATTCAAATGAATAATATAAATAATTTATATTATCTACCATCGTAATAATAAAATATTTTGTTGCGTTTGCTTTGCCAGTAAAATGCCAGCATATTTTTCCTAAAAATTCTTTACATCCCACAAGGGGAAGATGGATGCAAAGTTTCAAAGCATAACTGCATACCCCGAGGCACGTTTAAATTAAAATTTCACGAATCGAAGATGCTTTGTTAGCAGTGGCTTACTTAATCCACCATTTCGTGGTCACGAATTCTTTTACATTCTTCTACGCTGTAAGCTGTGATATCAATGCAATATTTATTTCAAAATACTCATGCACGTGGCGCACTCTAATTCGGTAGTCTGCGATATCACGAAGGGAAGCTACACAACACTTTCAATTCACTGGCGGCTCTTCGATTTAAACTCCTTAGCTTAATTAATGTAAGTCCTGGTCCCGGTATTCGTGCTACAACTGCAAATCGGTAGGATCTAGAATGAATCAGTAGTGGCCCTCCCGCAATTAGGCCAAATTTTTTAGTGACCTCCTTCTGTAGTATATTGTGCTTTCGGAATTTATTAAAATTATAAAACTTTGATTTATTTTAGCATTAATAGCAGCAAAATGAAGAATCTGCATATTATAAAATATTAAAATAAATTGTAAAGGGATTTACGACTGGTGTATACGTTTATAACAATAGTCAACTTTTTCAAAATGGGCGCATTTGTGACCGCATTCATTTTTCATACAAAACACGCTTGTAATGTGAAATGACAACTATATTAATTTCTTTGGAAATAAATGTACATAATTCTCTATTTTCATGTCAACATATCTCTTTCGTGCATAAAATAAAAATTAACATCATGAGAATTGGAATTCAGAGTATGTACTATTTACACCTTTCAGCATTATACGCTACTGTAATTAATGACCTTGTTTATCATTACAATACGTTTGCAGTTCATTTGAATAGTATTTGGTTGATAGTAGGGAACTTGAAATTTCGCACACAACCGCTGGACTTTTATCGCTTTCGAGATAAAAACGATGTCGAGAATATGGATGGTAAAGCGAGCGCGACGGTTCGAGGAGGGGAGTGGAATAAAAGAAGGCGAATAACTTGAATAAATAGAGCGTAAAGTGCGGCGGAGTTGGGGAGTGGACGCAGAAGGAATGGGGGAGGCAGGAGTTTTATCGTGACATTCGTAGGACATATCAGTAGGCGTCGCATTTTCGAAGATCAACTCCATCGTTGCCGTCGCTCAAGTGTCATACGGCCCTAGTCAACCGCGACATTTACCCGGGACTTTTATTACCTCTATATAATTCAAGCACGCACGTACGCGTGCTAACCGGATATCCTTCCATTTACATACGCGACCGATATCCTTAACCCAAGGGATTGTCGTTTACGGAATTGAAGGCAAGACACGCACAGAGGCGCGTTACCGCTCTCCCATCCAACCAATGTCGATCTCGACAATTTTCCAATGCTACATCGACTGCTTCTGGGAAATCAATTGCCCTTTCTTCATCACTAAATTACTTTGCTTATTCAAGGAAAATGGCTAAGTTAACCTCGGCTATTTAAACGATATTTGTGGGTGTTCGTGGAACGAATAAACTTATTTGTTATTTCTGATCAGCCTTGTTAGTTTATCTTGAAAATTAGAATGTTTTTTTATTTTCTTTTCATTTTCTTTCAACTTGGATAATGTGCGCTCGCTAAAGAATAAATTATTATTATTACTATTACATAAAATAAGTTGATTCATAACGTAGTACGCATTTGTGGAATTAATTTTAATCGAACTTCGGTTCGGCTTATAAATTTATTTGTTTTAATTACCGTATAAATCTGAGCGTCGCCTGTTACGTACGCAATTTAGATCCGTTTGACGATGCATTGAGAAAAAGTAAAATTAAAGTTAGTTAAAATTCGCGTGAATCTAATTTTGTCGCAAGTACATGTAAATATTAGCTTTGATGTCGGCCAATTTTCTGGTAGCAATTTCGCGTCGAGCAAAGCAGTATCGTATCATATTTAATAAGTCAGTAATTTTAAAAAGTTTGTCCGAGACTGGCAGTATACTTTGTTTTGCTTATCTGTAATTTAACGCACAAGTAGCTTTTCTTCTGCTCCTGCATCTTTTCGTCATGTTTGTCATATTGTTTCTTGACATTACGCACATACACAAAGAGGAATGAAATGCACGTATAATCACGAAAGAATAATGAATGTGGCCTGTAAGTCACGCGGGTTAATATCATTTAATATATATCCGTGTTATTCTTAATCTGACGATATTTTTCTCCAGGACTCGCCACGATGGTCATGCTGTTAAAAAGCCTCATGCAACTTTGGCGAGAAAAAAGGCCTTGTATAACTTGTCAGCGTTAAGTATAATTATTAGTCTGGCGCACGCCAGTAGAAGCCCGGCGTAATGGTCGGGCTACTTCCGCAATTCTAGCGATGAAGTAGCCACGAGCCGCCGAGATTACAGAGCACGCGATTCTCACGCAATTTCTTTGTTTCCGTTTAATTTGCCAATTAGATATTCCTCTTATCATTAATGCAGAGAGAAAAGCGTATTCCTTTAATTACTTACCAAAATTGAGTATGAAATTTCCAATACTTGGCACAGAACCAATGAGGAACTTAGAGTGTAAAGTGTACATGAGAAGGTTGATCGATCGGATCGTTTTAATTTAGAAGCTAAGTTATCTTATTAAAGAATGGAGGGGATAAGCATGTTTCTATAAATATGAAAGACCAGTGGGATTTTGACGTATAATGGCATACATACGCGCGCGCGAACACACACACACGCACACATTCAGATGGAAGGGAAATAAATCGATAAATTCAAAGACACAATAATAAATAACATAGTTAAGCAGGTAGAATAACTAAGAAAATGGAAAAGAGAGGGAGAGAGAGAGGGAGAGAGAGAGAGAGAGAGAGAGAGAGAGCGAGCGAGTGGGAGATGGACAGAAGCCAAAACGAGGAAGAAGAGACTTTAAAGGATAAATTTGATTGACTGTTTGAAATATTCTGTAAATAACAAATAGCTGCTATCCTTCGGGATTATTTCATCCATGGGAAGCTCTCGATGAAACTTATTCGCTCCGGTCGGAATGTAATTTTATTTGTATTCAAAACGATCACTGATAGAGGGAAGTAACACGAACCTCTTTCAAATCTTCATCCAAAAACGTATTATGAATATGAATACTTTAGCGATATCATATCAAGGTGACATTCATAAGAACACGTAATATCTTAGTTCTTACGATGGCTCATTTCTTTCTTTTTTGTATTTCAGATTTTCAGAAGCTCGAGCGTGAGGCGCGGATATGTAGGAAACTCCAGCATCCAAATATCGGTAAGTCACAAGTAAAGTTTTACGAATATCCTCCCGTACTTTTTCTTTGTGTCACTTTTGTTCGATTGAATTATGGAAGAAGTTATACCTTCAAGTGAATTTTCCGCGACCCTTTCGACCACCTATGCATGCTACAAACTTGAGAATCACGAATCTTGGGACTTGTCAGAAATTTGCTGCAAATGTAAGGGAAAAACGAAATATATCCACGAGTGTGGTATCGTGTCGTCTGGTAGGAAGGAGAGGTGAAAAAGGCAATTATCGGAAATAAAAGCGTCATGCGGTTGTAACCCATCAACACGTCGATCGATTCCCTGACGCACGCAAAATATTCATTCTAAAACTGTATATCACGGAAAATACTTGAGATTGACTGATAATACGCTTATGGTAGATATATTATGGCTGAGATAAAATTGCGATCCGTTCGGATATCATTACGTTCATTAAGAATGATATTGAAATCTTGATCATAAAAAAGCATACTACTTTTCTATTTTGTGCTAAATCTTTTTAACGCGTTAAGACAATTTATCATATGTGTGTTTGTTTGTGTGTGTGTGTGTGTGTGTGTGTGTGTGTGTGTGTGTGTGTGTGTGTGTGTGATTTAATATTTGATTATAATTACTTATTATATATTTGGTTGTAACGAGAATAAACTTTGATTTAGAAAATTGTACCCATTTTCTGTGAATCCTTCCACTTTTCGTATCAATAACAAATTTAATTTGTTTAAAGTAATGAATTCATTATAGATTATGCGATTAAATATTAATTAGTCAGTTAAGAAGAATTAGTATAATTTTGTATGTTTAGCAATTTTATATCTATATATCGATATGATAAACATCTTAAATTCCATCGATTCGATCCAAGAAAAGTCATCCTTTTATCGTGAATTATCGTTAGAATTAACAGAATTTTTGCAATAATTGATAAGAACGTAATAAACGATTAAATAAATCATGTAAAAAATTATCGTTAAGTATAAGCGTTGGTTATAAAAAAAATTGCAAATTTATAAGTGTAAGAATCGATACTTTCTTATAAACGAAAAGTCGAAAATAAAAAAGCAAGTCGGAATTTTATTGTCATATTGCGACGAGAAAGCAAGTCTTTTTCAATACCGAAATCATTTTCGGGCGCTCATTCGATCTTGAAATATTTTATAGAATTGAAATGAATCGAGACAAAACTTGGAATACCAGGTATAAAAGACGACCTCACTCTCCGCAAGAGCATATTTCTACTTTTTAACGTTCTGTATCAAAGAGATTTATGGCGCGAAAGGGAGCCGGAGAAACGAAGTACGTCGGGAGAAATAAATAGGAGGGTCGAGGGTGGTTTCGTTTCGCAACGCATCTTATCGTTCTTAGACGGGAGTTGAGAAAAAATGTCGATGTACGCCTCGGTCGAGAGGAGAGACGTAGGGAGAAAATCGATATCAACCTTCTTCACATGCGTTATAACCCAGCCCAGTTCGACGTACTTGTAACATGGAGAGTTCCTGCCGAATCCTACCGCTTGGTACTTTCATTTCCAATTCAACCTGTCGATTACAACTCTCGTTATTATTGCGAAGTTGACCAACATTGGAGAACCTATTTTCCTTCAATTCATCCTCTCTCTCTCTCTCTCTCTCTCTCTCTCTCTCTCTCTCTCTCTCTCGTCTATCTTATTCTTTTATCTCGGGGGCATATTCCGAACGAACGGTGAAATTCTCCTTGGCCATGCAGAGCCGAGCTTCAAAGTACTTGGCAAGCAAATGAGGAGTGGGAACTCGCGGCTTCTCATTTCTACTAGCCGAAACTTTCCTCCGGAAGCCCGAGCTAATTGAAGTCGACGGAATCTAAGGAAGCGTAGATTACAAAAACTTATTGTGCTACTGCCACGACGGGGGGTTCTTTCTTGGGGTCGAAACTCGACCCGATTTCGGATGGCGCAAGAACGAGATCGAGATAAGAGGAGGGCCGCCGTAACGGTGCAGACTACGCCATTTACGACACCAATACTAGCAAATATAGCGTACGGGGAAGGTAGAAAGGTAGGTAGGTCCGATCGCGCCTGCGCACCGTCACTCCTTGGTACTTCCAACTCGCCAGCATTAATAATATTTGCACCTGTGTTATTGTATGTGGTATTGCGCCAGTGCGCTATTGCGGCTGCCGCCTGCGCATTCGCTAATCCCTGTAATAGACAGAGGCGTTGTTCGGCTAACGCTATAAGCCACCTACAAAATCCCGGCATTTTTTTTATCAAGCAGAGCACGGGAATAATTCTACACGCAAAGCCGGGATAAATATTCCGCAAGACTTATTAACACATGAAAATTCTTTTTTTTTTCTTGTTCTTTTAAGTAAGAAAGAGAGGTCCGACACGCGTAATTTCAGTCTTCTTCGTTATGTAAATTTTGCAGATTAAGTGATACGTTAATGCAGAGCGATCTACATATTTCTGAGAATATTCTATTCAATATTTTATAGATAGAAATAATAATACATTATTATGTAGTCGTTGTGATATTCTCATTATATTATTCTGTAAACCGATTTTTTTTAAGAAAAAAATAAACTATTCAATGGGTAATGTCCATTCATTCCTAAGATAGTAACACATCAAAGGTGATAATCGTCTTTTTAAAAATCAATTATTATTCATGTTTTTTTTCTTCTCGAGTGAAAGTTAAACCAAGAATGCTTGCCTACATATATATATATATATATATATATATATATATATATATAAATCCGAAAAAATTAAGACGCGATATTATTCTTATACATTGTGTGGTTACAGATCGATATGTTCTTTTTACTACGTAGTTGGTCGGTATTATATGTTTATCTTAAAAAAATTTTTTTTAAATGGGGCCGCCGAGTTGTCGAAATAGGAATATCTTCGTGGCAGGATGACGGAACCGGTGGGAGTACGCACAATTGTGATACTCTGACAAGAGCTTGTCCTTGACCAATGATGTCTGGTGCATACGAATGTCGTCCATCACCCGAAGCCGAGAATGAACTCGAAGACGAGTCTTTTGGGTGTGTGCCAGTGGTGGGCGACGAGCATCCCTCCCTCATCCACTCGTTTTCTCTCCCCCTACTGTGCTTCCCTTTCTTTAATTATAAATGACCGTATCATCGAGAAGCCGATGTACTTTTAATGATTTGCATCGCGTTGGCGAGTACCACGCGGGACCTCTCGAAACTTTGCCGGGGTTCTTTTAACAACCAGGCGACGTGCCCTGGAACCCTTGAACAAAACACTCGCCTCTGTGCCATTATTTATTTCTCGCCCACGTCGGCTGAATATTCCTGATTCCAGCCTACTATATAAATCAGAGTCTCACGACAATTTTTCTCCTCCCTCCGGAGCCTCGCTTTCTCATTCTCTGTCATATATTTTAATATTGTACATTAAATGCTTGGATTATTTATTATGACACCGAGAAAATTATCGCCCAAATAAACTACTATTCAAAAAGTCAACGTCAATGTATATTTTTAAATTAATTTTTGACACACGTTGTCTTAGTTACGAAACAGCAATTCAAAAACCAAAGCATCAATATATTAAACCAAAGCATTAATACATTAAACAATGAAAATTCCATATGTTATGTTATTTTTATAAATAATCCTCTTACGTACCAATTAAGTTGTAAGTTATAATTCCAAAGTATAATTTATATTAATATATGGTTTATTTAATTTTCTATTCCGTTGCAATTTTTTATTCTTTTGCATAATCAACGTTTATCGACATTAATACAATTCATTTCTTTAGTTTTTTTTTTTTACAAATAAATAAAGAAAACTGCCTGGTATTCTTTTGATGTCTTGGAAAGAAACGTTTCAAAGACATAACTCCACAAAAAGTCTGTTTAACCAAAATTAATAAAAATGATAACTGATATTAATGAAATACTTTGAATTTTTCTTTTTTATATCAATATTAAAAAACAAAAACTGATAAATTAACAGATTGTTATTCATAGATATAAACATATTGAAACTCGACACCAGTTTAATGATTTTGTAATTTAAGGTAAAGTTGAAAGGAATATTTAAATATTTCGTGGATATAAGATATTTTTTAGTACAAGATGTCTTGCTGTTTTTAAATTATTAAATAATATTTATTTCTAAATATTATATTTTAATAAAATTAGGTTTACTTAATTTAAGTATATAATAATAATAATTAAACAAGGACATTGACACATGATCCGATTATTTCAAGTAATTAATTTTTAATGATAATTTTTGTATTTAGATTTCTCTTTGGTGTCTTCTTATACAAAAACAAAAGATATAGAATATTATTAGATCATTTTATTTTACGAATCATTTAAAAAGTCATAAAGTATATCATAATTAGTTTAATAATGTATAATTTTTTTTCTTTTATATTATAATAAAAGCAGTCAAACTTAGCTGTTAATAATAGACAATCTTAAACAAACACAATTTATAAAGGAATTTATTAGAAAGTTCAATAATTATTTTATAATTATAAAATAATAAATTAAGAATAATCATATAATTGTCACATTTTTCATCACAATATTCAATCACAATAATTATCATTGTACAATTAGAATAAAAAGTTTAAAATACATAATATAATGTTAAAGCATTTAATAGCGTAAGATATAAAAATAGATTTTCCATGTATATGAAAGTCAAGGAAATGGAAGCATCGATGAAAATAAATGGAAAAATAGAAAAATGTAATTGAAAGGCTAAGGAAAAAAAAATTCATCGTCTTGTAATATTCTTTTAAAGAGAACGCGCAAGAACCACTGCGGACGACTCGAGTTTTTCCAAAGATAAAAGCGCCCTGTGGTAGCAATAAGTATAGATATATAGATTAATACTCGACATTTTATCCTCCTCTGACTACCACAGTAGCCTGCTTTCAACCTCAATTTTCCCCTTTCTTCACCCTACACCTCGCCCATAAACTGGTTGCAACACCCCCGCCTTTCTAATCTACTCCGTCGCTTTGCGGAGAAAGCACCAGCTCTCTTTGACACTGCGAGTTTGTCTTCTTTCATTCCACTGGTCGACTTTGCGCGTCTGCTCAAACCACTCGGATAAATTTGTCTGCCTCGTCGAGTAATCGCTTAGCCGAGCTTCATTTCCTTTCGACGACTCGCGCGTCTTCGCCCGGAGAAATCGATACCACCTCCGCGCTCTTCCCGTGCGTGCGCCTGTGCATCAGCACGTCACATTGGCAGCCTCATCTACTGCAAAACGAGTGAGCCCAGCAGGAACGCGTGTACCCACTCCTCGGAGTTGGATGAATTTCGATTAGGAAAGGTTGCAATAATAGACGACCGACAGCGCTGGATCTTGCTCCAAATAATTGAGCGTAAATTCGATTCGTCGGCGCCGTCGTAAGCGTCCGGATGAACGTAGCTCGGGAGACGCTGACTTTCAAAACAATTTCGTAGCTTTTATTTTTTTAGTAACTCTATATGTATGTCTCTCTCTTTCTCTCTCTCTCTCTCTCTCTATATATATATATATATATATATATATATATATATTTAATGCAGAGGAGGAAATGGAAAAGAAATAATTAAAAATAACCTTAGTGTCTCCATCATTTTACTAATATATCGCGCTTTACCGAGCATAGCGAACGAATTATATTTCATAAAGTTACCACGACGCGCGTAGTAAGTAAAGCTCGGCAAATCTGCCTCTAGATTATCCAACAGATGCATTTCAATAGCACGACGTTGGTCGCGCTCTCCGCTCTATATCCGCCTATTTATTCATCATAAAGTCCGCGAATCCATAATTCATAAGGTTGCGAGCCAGTCTGAGTTGTGTAGTATTTTTCCGATTGCGTCTCGGTAGTAAATTAGCGCTTCCACTCCATTTCAGAGCATTCGAAGAGAGTTCACTCTAGCTGTTGAGATTATTTTACCATCGAGTATTGATCAGTGGTTAACGAATGCAAGCCATGTATTTTCTTCTCTTTCCGATTATACCGACATTTAATCGATGAACGTAATATCGATTAGCTCGCGAATCGAGGTAGTATCACGTTTGCCGTATCACGCCGTCGCTTCTGTTCCTCAAGCCGATGTTTCCCACCAGCGTTCGGCCAACTTTTCATCCTCATCCCGTGTACGTAACACTAATGGGCGTCGTTACTTCATCCTACTTTCGATCTTTGATCTCGTGCGAAAGAGCAGCTAATGAACAGCTAATGTTCATGTGATTGATCAGCTAATCGGCCGCGATCTAGTCGGTGGAAAGCAATTGTTGTTGATCAACAACAGATTCCGGAGTTAGTTTGTGATCACAATTGGCGCATTTGTGACTATTAATAAAAATGACGAAGTTTTAAAACTGACTTATGGCTTTTACCTGAACGTAATATATCTTTGGAGGATGTTCATTTTAGGAAGAAGACAAATTGTGCTAAAGGTTGATATTGGGTAAGAACGATTGCGGACTTTTTAACTTTTAATTCAATATTGTATTTATAGATAGATGGCTTTATTTCTGGTTTTGGCAACTTCCAACCTTCCAACCAATGTTCTTGTTTACTTTTTAACGAGAATCACGTAGCTACCGATTGACTCTTCAAAATCTGTCGATATATATATAGAATGTAACTGACTGACGTACGACGAAGTGCAAGTGCGAAGGTTGCAATAATATGGATGAATACAGGTTGGAGCTTGAAGCAGGTACTTAACGGGAAAACTGAAAGAGGCTATTACGGGATTGCTTATGCAAAGCACGAATTATACGCGGTCGTGGTCCCGTAAAGCTGAGGCAAACGTTACTCCGGTTATCCGCTCAAACGGCTCAACAAGGATTAATTGACACCTTACTGCCCTTGTATGTGTCAGGGGCTGATGATTGTCGTCGACATTATCGTGGACGCTGCTTAGGTCCGCGTAGACCGGAACATAACCGATGGGTCGCCACAAACTGTTTATATAAATATACGTTTAATTACAGGTGTCTGGCATGAATTGTCTTATTTCAGAGTGATCCACGAATTAAATGCTCGTAAGGTTGCTTATAAGTAGACAGTATTTTACAGAAAATATCAAAAAATTGAAATGGTTTTTAAAACTTATGACTTTGTGCCAAGTAAACATCGGGAAAATCTATCAAGGCATTTTTATTTCGTATACATATTCTTATAAATATGGAAAATTCGCAAAAAATGCATATTTCCTCGTATTATGCTTGCGATATATAAAATACTTAAATTAATATTTATAATATTATGACGTTACATCTTTGAAAATAATATTCTTATATAAAATTACACTGAAGCTGTATACAAGATGTTGTGTAGAAAAAAAATATAATGTCTGACATCTGATATATCTATCAACGGTATTCGTTTATTATTCTTTTCGTTGCAATGCGCGCATGGAAAAAAAAACTTTGCAATAGCTTGTAAGATATTGAGAATTTATAAAAATTAACATTCAATGCTCTTCAAATACATTAAAATACATACTTAATTAATTATTTACGGAAAATACAGTATTATAATATAATAATTTCTTCTTACTTTGTTTTGAGCTTTAATATATGTAAATATAAGAGGATTTATACGATCTCCACAAAGTCAAATATAATTCGAAAAAATTAGGCATTGGTTCATAAAAAGGAATAAAATATTTATATGTTTAGTTAATGGCTTCTGTAATACTTTCTCTTTAACATTATTTTTTAATATATCTTGTTATTTTTGTCTACCATGAACATTACTTAGTATACTTAAAATTTTATGGAATTCGAAGCTAAAGCAAGTTTATTTATGAAAACGGCGTGGCCTGTCCATTTTCTGGATTCTCTATTGAATTTGCAACTTATATTTAAACTATGAAGGATGGATTCTATTATTTTAAATTCCAGCTGGTGCATATGCACCAGAATTTTGGACATTCAAATAGAATATTAATAGCCTTTTCCTTAATAAAGATATTTTTGAAAAAGATATTGGTAACTATAATTAGTAAGTATAAATATATTTTTCATCGTGATCATCGTCTTATTAAATTTGATTTATAAGTATTATTTAATTCTATAATAGCTGTTGCTCAATAAATAAGTTCATATTGTAAATTCATTGATTATTATGTAAGTTTTACCAATTTCCAAGTAGAAAACATCACTATATCGATGGGAGACTTAGTCAATGCCATTTAAAATTGATCCTAATGGAGAAGCGATTTTAATGTATAGATTGAAAAGTAATTTAAAGTAAAAGTTTCTTTAACGACTCGTTGAGCCGCGCTAAATAATCCGAATTTCCAAGTACAGACATGGTGGAAATTTAAACTCGATCTTCTTTGTTGTTGCAGTAAGACTACACGACAGTATACAAGAAGAAAACTACCATTACCTCGTCTTCGACTTGTAAGTATCTCGACGACAGGAGCTTTAGATAATAAGTGTACTCGACCGATGGGAAGTGCTCACGTTTTGCGCACAACTTGCAGGGTCACCGGTGGTGAACTCTTCGAGGACATCGTCGCCCGGGAATTTTACAGCGAAGCCGACGCCTCGCACTGCATCCAACAAATCCTCGAGAGCGTCCACCACTGCCATTACAACGGTGTCGTGCACAGAGATCTGAAGGTAGAGTTACCAGCACCACCCGCCCCTCCTTCCCGCTATTTTTCTCCCGTCTCTTTAAAATTTCTCTGCAACCGAGAAGAATTTCCGCGATTATCATATTGTAAAACGCGTTGGTGCCAATGGCCGCAATTTGATTTATGATTCTGAGTGCTTCGTTCTAGCCCGAAAATCTGCTCTTAGCGAGCAAGGCCAAGGGAGCCGCCGTCAAGTTGGCTGATTTTGGATTAGCGATAGAGGTACAGGGAGACTTTCAAGCATGGTATGGTAAGTTAAGCCACTTTCACCCTCTCTTTTTTTATGCTTTCGCCGAGCACCATCATAAATTGATTGGCTACTGATTATTGGCATAATTGTAATTCATCGCTTTAGAAGATTTGGAAGTTTTCTCATGACAATATCATCAGTAGCCTCTACGTGCTCATAAAAATGCCATTTTGTCTCTCTAATGAAGTTTTAATTAACAAAAAATTATTGTCATTTCCGTCCAAGTTCCTGCAATGTTCTACAATATTATCATACAATGTAATATTTTTATAAAGTAAACGTGTATTGAACGTTTACATTTTTAATTATTCATGACTTTAAAGGAAAGTTCGTTGAATTATTAAAGGGATATTTTACATAAAATTAAATTTATTACAAATATTAACTATTGTTATTACTGTTATGAAAATATCGGGTGCTTCAGTTTTCAAATACATTATATAGTGTAGTATTATTCTCATTATGTCGAGATTATTTATAAGAGCTATTTGATGGTAAAACTAAAATTAATTAAAAATCATTTACTTTCATCGCATATTTGTTTGTAAAAACATCTTGACATTTATAAGATATTACAATTTTCCCATAACGATATTGACAATAACTCATAGCATTAAGATGAAACTACATTTCTAAACATATTCAAGTAAGCACTGTAATTAATTGTATCGATCGATAAATCGATCGATTTATGGAATTACCTAGGTTTCGCGGGAACGCCCGGCTACTTGAGTCCGGAGGTACTAAAGAAAGAGTCTTATGGCAAGCCAGTGGATATTTGGGCCTGTGGAGTTATCCTTTATATCCTACTAGTTGGTTACCCTCCATTTTGGGATGAAGATCAACACCGATTGTATGCACAGATTAAGTCCGGCTCCTACGACGTAAGTCATGTCTAACATATTATTTAATAATATATCCTACAATTGTCCTTGGTTACATTTTTACATAATACATTTGACTTCATAATCTATTTCAGTATCCAACACCAGAATGGGATACCGTTACACCAGAAGCGAAAAATCTTATCAATCAAATGTTGACGGTGAATCCGACTAAAAGGATTACAGCCAACGAAGCCCTCAAGCATCCCTGGATCTGCGTGAGTTCATTCTTCTTTTTTTACGTCTCTATCTCTCTCTCTCTCTCTCGCTCTCTCTCACATACATACACTTATGTATATCATTCGAAACATATGATGGTTACGTTATTAATTTTTCTTATAAAATGTCGTTACTTTTTTCTCAGCAACGTGAACGCGTCGCGTCTGTGGTACATAGACAACAGACTGTTGACTGTTTGAAGAAATTCAATGCCAGGCGCAAATTAAAAGTAAGTTTGTCTTTTTTTCTTACTATCATATTGTCTTTTTTATCATTTAGGTAAAGTGCTTTATACGATAGAAATTATATTAATAAATTTTATTCACTTCGATAAAAATATAATCTACAATATTTGATTTATCTTATATACGGTACAGTTTTTATATCAAATGATTAATCCTTAACAAATAATTTACAAAAAATTCTACCGTTAAATAAAATATTTTTAAATTCATGGTGATAATTTAGATAGTTCCATATGAAAAAAACAACACTTAAAGTATATATTAGAATTTTAATAAGTATCGTTAAAATTGATAATTCAATGAATTCAATAAAAATTTTAATTTTCTGAATTTAGGGTTCAAACGAACTGCTATGATAGAGGTAGAAATACATAGTAAATAAGTAATACAAGTTCCTCGTTAGTTTAAATAACTAAACTGCATGCAAATGCGTTGCTTAGTGGGTCACATTACACGTCACATTATCCGTACTCCTTATCTTTGCGAGAGTCATAAAGAATAACTATAACGACGTGAGGCGAGAAAAATAGGAAACAAGAAAATCGAATTTTGCGGTGAGCCGAGGAGGGTTTAAAATGAAATTATGGCGTCACTAATCAACATTGTGAGACGGTATGTGGTTGGGAGCCGATTAACGTACGAACAACGTATTGCAACGATAATTCAATAACCACATCGCATATCTGCAGCACCTTGAGAAACCATAACTGCTGATGATATTACTACCGAATACGTGTACGTGTCGGCGCCAGTGTCGCTTTATCACAAGCGCGCGTGCAATGTTTATGGATGATGGACTCGGGCTCTTCGCCATTATCGAATAATGAATGCCTTTCTACATCACAGGGATTTCAGATATTCGCCGAGTACGCGTTAACCGAGTCGATGTTTTCCGCCGCTCGTGGCATTGCCATGGGAGCACTTAATGTAATATAATAATCAAATTAACGCTGATACATTAAGCAATTGCGAAAAAAGAAAATAGTAATAATTTTTTTATAATTTACACTACATTGATTAGCCATATGATTTACCTCAATATCGGATCTAAAATCGTGGGCGCGAGATTTTTCATCGGTTGCTTCGCCAAGTCGTTTCCTCAAATCTGACTCAGGAGAAATCTGCATTTGCCGGCACTTCTCAAGACTTACACGCGAACTCCATAATTCCGGCGTCTCGGTTTTGCAATTTTCTTCCAATTTCCCCTCGCAATTGCCTCGGATACATTTTGATCGCGTCTACATTTTGATGAAATTCAACAGACTCCGTTGCACTATAAGAAATATAAAATTATTTGGCTCGTTGATACCCTACTTGATCAATTTTCGTAAACGATTTATATAATCACAACTACTTCATCTGCAATAAAGATAAAGCAAGTCCCAAGGTGTATTTAGAAAATTTAATTCTCATCTTTATAAATAAGAAAACGCTGCTTTACTACATTCATTAATTAAATTCCCAAAATAAAATATCCAACTCACAATCCTCGTTACCATATTTCCTTAAAAGTTTATTTCGGCGCAAGCTCAGCCGCTTCCTTTTGTTAAAAAGTCAGAGAAAGTTTAAACGAAGGCTCATATGTCTGTTTGCAGGTCGCTATTTTAACAACAATTCTGGCAACAAGAAACTTTTCCAGTAAGTATGATACACAACGTAAGTATCTCCGGCCCTCTTCAGCATTTCATGGATAAAAATTTCTCGATAAGCCATTTTCAATCCAATGCTCTTTTATATCATTTTATTAATTTTTTTTTCCTTTTCATTTTTACTCGATAACTTCCTCATTTTTCACGACAAAATGATTATTTATGCATTATCAAAAGTAGACAAGAAATTATGTCATTAACTGTTATGCTACTTTTGTGAATATATATTATTATTATTCGTTTCAAACGACTGAAATGTATAAACATTAATTATAAATTTTGCATTTAATTAACTTATAATTAAATTGAACGCAGTTTAAGTTCATAAAAGTGGGATAAGAGTATGAGGCTAGAATACTCATAAGGAGGCTTTAGATTTTTTTTGGTTAAATATGTAGAGAGTGTGTATGCGCGTAGCACGAGAACATACTATGTACATCTGTACATAGATCATGTACAAATGAAAGATCGTACCGTGCTCGTTTAACACGCAAATGACATGCGCATTTTATATTATAAGTATGTTCATAATTTCATTAAATTTAGTTACATCATATATATATATATATATATATATATATATATATATATAGATACATCAATGCACTTGATTCCCACTTTACATAGACCATTATATAGGTAGCATATCCAAAAATTCCTCAATTCTTAAGTATTAAATATACACTAAATACATCTACATTAATCATATCAATTTCTGGTTAATGCTTCATTAGCCCTAGTGGACTTAAGCCATTTTAAAAACCTCGCAATTTATAAAATTATATCAACAAGTAACTTTTATCTGTTATTTATAATATAAATTGGCTAAAACATTTAAAAAAAAATTTAAATGAGCATTTGATAGAAAAAGTAGTTCAGTCATAAGAATACTATATACTATAGCGACTATAGATAGGCCTATCTCTGTCTTTATTTCTTCTAATCAAAAATAAATCGTAATTTACCTTAAAATATTAAATATTTTCTAGAATTTAAAAAATAAACTATAAAATTTTCTGTACGTATTTGAAAAAAAATGTTAGCTATGTGTCCACTTGTGGCTAAGGGACAAAACGTGAATGATATGTGTTTGGTATTGCTGATGACTACTATGTATGCTTGCTTTGTCGGTCGGCAGACTAAAAATAAAATTAATCCACCAACATTATATATTAATTAGACGAAATTTCTGCAGATATTTTTTATACGTTTCTTCAACGTTTGACGTAACAAAAACAACATCGTATTTTATTGGAATTAAATATCTTAACTATTTTTATAACAAATGGCTACGTAAATTCTTGAAGTTTTTTTCGATTAATAATCATTCGAAGACAAAATAGATAAATCTCATTTGGTTTTTGAATAAGCTACGATTATTATATAATTTACAAATATCCAATGGTTGATCGTTTTCTCTCGTTTTTATACTCAAATATTTAATTTATATAAATTCGAGATATTAAATATCAAGCAAATGGAAGTCTAAATGATTGTAAACCGCTGGCAAGTAATATGATATTTTGTACGTATGATACATGCTCACGCGCGTTTAATATTCTTCACTGAATTTATATCTTTAATCACATTTATTCTATTAAAAAATAGAAGAAAAAAAATACTTCTGCACTACTCTACTCACTATATAGTCGATAATATAAAGTAACGATTATATTCGTAATTACGTCTCTCGAGAGCTGAACGATCGACCGGCACATGAAACGTCTCTCTAGGGTAATGATCCTACTTTAGCAGAGTAGTTGTGAATCATGGATCTTTATATAATTACATGTACTTTATAGGTATATAGGTGAGTAGAGCATAAAGTACCAGTCGCTTTTACATGAAATTTTCATAAGACAAAATCAAACGTTTGATTGTTCTATTCTAATATTTCTAATATTTCTAATATTTCTAATAACAAATATTTGTTACATGTTACTTCACTTTTATTAATATCTTTCTATTTATTCTTCTCTTCCTTTTCTTTATATATTTGTCACTTTCATTCTTATTCATACTCCTTTATATCACATAGAAAATCTCATACATTCTTTTTCTCTTTTGATTATAAATGTGTACATAATAGCTTCTCTACAATATAATATTACCAGTTTATCTTCCTTTAATAAATAAATAGATGATGTAAATATAAACGCTAAAATAAGAAAGATATTTGTAAACTAATGAAATTATTCCACATGTCTATAAGCATAAATATTGTTTGTATAATTAGTTACAATTAGCATATCACATTTAGCATATCGTATTAAAAAAATTTTCTATTATAATTTTAAATAACGGTTCATAACTAGGTAATTTGTATTCAAATTTTCCTTAATCATAAATTTAGATATTACATAAAGTATTCTTAAGAAAATAGTTTATTCGTTCTTAAAAGCTGCATGTATTAAAATTTATAAAAAATTATTCGTTAATAGTGGAATTTTAATTATTAAAAAATTTCTTTTCATCATAAAAGTGAATTTCAGTATAAAAGACACAAAGCTATCATGTTTTAATTATAAATAATAATCGTTTACTCGCAATATACTTACCTGCAGATTATTTTACAGTATGTATACAGTATCTGTCAAAAAAATTGATCGTAAACAGATAAAATTTCATAAGAACATTAAATTATTAAATATAATCGATAAAATATTTAAATTAGTTTTCCTTTCACTATTTTCTATGTGTAAGAATATAATGACATTAAGATTAATTATTAAAAAAACTTTGGTTTAATCACTCATTTAACTTCTTTATTTATTATGTTCCAAGATTGTATATAATAATAATAATTATTATAATTATTATTATTATTATTATTATTATTATTATTATTAGGTAAATATAGCACTAAAAATATTTCTTATTCAATTGGATATTTAAAATAGTTGTTCTTTGTTCGGGTTTCTTGTATATACACAGTTAGCCTAAGTCCAATCACAAAGGCACCTGAGCAGATGAACATGTATACAGATTTAAACACCTATTTGCTAAAACTATGTATGTCATTGCACATGTAAGTCACATCTGCTGCCTTCTCACATGCTATACGACGACCCCTTACAATACATGATATCGTAGCATCAGCGATTAAATGAAGCCTCATAAAAGTTGAAACAACCATAAAACATAACATGAAAGTAGAACAATGAGAAACTCGAGGCTAGAATAATCGCAAGCTTATGAAAAAGTAAAAATTATTTTTAAAAGGTTTGAAGTTATTTCAGCTGGCCTCCTGAATTTTAAATTGAATAAAAATTTCAATTTCTTGAACTATATCTTCATGACATATTACCTTTTAAATTTTATATACGGTTTTCAAGTGTACTTCCTGTTTACACTACTCGAAGATAAACAATTTCTTTTCCATATAAATTCATGTTAAGCATTTATCAAAATATATACAAATATCATATTTCGCCAGCATAATCAGCATTACATTAGGTAGTAATGTATCGGTATATCTTAGAATAAAAAACGTATTTATTTTAATTTTTTTATGCAGATATTATAATATATAGTACAGATGTAAATTTAATGTGTATAATCAAGTGAAATTGATACTTCTGGTAATTCTAAATGGTGTTCTGAAAAATTATTCAATTTTCAAAAACCTTAAAAAATTGATGCAGATATAGAGTACACGAAGAATAGTTTATTACGTGATGTTTGATTAAAATATTATAGTATTTCTAAAATTTTATAAGTCTCATAAGGTTATAATTTTACTTTTGTGTAACTATTATTTTATGCGCACGTGATATTAAATTAAAAAATTTTTTAAACAAATAATAATGCATTAACTTTAAAGCATTATATGTATCCTCTATTATTGATATTTTTGAATTATACAACTGCACTATTCGTATAAATAGATATTCGTATAAAATATAATTATAACATACATACAAAGGTCAAGAGCAAACAATAAAATGGATTAAATGGAAAGAAAATAATTTGCATAAGCCAAACTCTAATCATTCGTTTTGTCGCATAATTAGATATAATAAATTCAGTGAATCATTTTCAATTTTGAATTATCATTTTTTTTTTTTTTTTTTTTTTTTTTAAGAAAAAAAAAAAAAAAAAATGTTGCAAAAATATATATAATTAATTAAAGTTGCATTATCAAATTCAAAATCTTATGCCTCTAGTATATACAGTTTCATTTGTAATATTTAAAAATGGAGCTGGGAAATCTTATTCTGGAAACATGTAATGCAAACTTTCTCTTAAATATTAAAAATATGCATTAATGTTGTAAGATTTTGAATTCCCATTTTCATATCTATGACATGAAGTGGGTCGGAGGTACGAAATGTCTATTTAACTTTTAAGTTAATATAATTATATATAATACCATTAGCTATAATACAACGCTAAAAACATCGGTGCGATACATAATTACTTGAAAAAGTGTGAAACATTGGATACACCTATTCAATAAATCGGAATAAACATATTATTACTTACAGCTTTATGAAGTGAATTTACAATGATTTCATTACAATTGAAATTTTTAACATTGACAAATCTGCTTCACGAAACCATTTACAAGTACAAATGCACTTCTGCACTCAGCATGAAATTCCCATCTCCTTATACATCATAAACACTGTGTAAAGAATATTATTTTTATAATTTGATCTTATTTATAATTATACTTTTGTTACGGCAATATTCCCATCCTCGGTATCCTTGTTGTAAATCAAAAATTTTTATTTATATCAAGTAGAATTTTAGATGTGTAAATTTAGACATTAATACATTTGACAAATTAGAAGTGGCGAATTTTTATCGATGAGATTATTGTCAAACTAACTGCACTCTATATGCTATTTATTTATTAATGAATTAGTCTAATTTTTATCTAAAACCCTGTATTACGTTTGCAATTTATTTTATTTTTTTTTAACTATTTATCGGTTATAAAATAGAATAGAAAATGAAAAATAATGCATTCGTATATTTTTTCAAATGCTTAAGTTGAATGTAAATATGCATATTAATATTCACTACATAATGTAAATTATAAATCATGTATATACATAAAACTTAATATGAAATATACATTTAAAAAGTGCAGATATTAGCAAATGCATTTTCGTTTTGACTTTTCATTTAATATATTTTTTTTAATTTCATTAAGCAAAATATAATAAAAACTTATAAAATCGAACTTATAAATTCATTCACGACTATGTTCGATTTTTCTTTTGCAACCATAATACTTTCTATTCAAAACACGTATTCTGACTCATGAGCTAAATTGGTTTTATAAAAGATTTATTGTTTCACTTCAAGAATGACCGCAATCAATAATAATTTATTGTACGGTCGTTCATTGATATGAAATATTCTTTTTGAGCCTTAGATATTCGTACCCATTCATTTACATTTTAACATTTTAAATTAATTATATTTTCACTATTTATATACACAAATCACGAAATGATCGCGCAAAACATACGATACGGACTTGCTGAATAAATCAATATTATTGACAAATTACACATTTTCTAATCTAACATTTTCTTATAAAAAAAAAATTCATGTTTAATGTTTCTAATCGAAATGTACAAGTAAACGATGTTAATAATAAGGTTGTCTGCGTTTGTTTTCTTACGTTGACCCTGTTACTACTCGTGTATCAATCCAATCAAAATTTGCAACTATACCGCCAATCGAAATCACGTGATCCACGCTGTGATCTGAAGAGAGTGGTAAGAATCGTGTTTTACCTTTTTTTTTTTTTGAAACAGACCGTTTAAAACATTTTATGATTTTAACTAACGCTGTCTAGTACATTTAGAAATAAAAGGATTAATTTGAGGGAAGGAGGTACTAATATTATATTTTAATCATAAACGACTATTTCGCATTTTTAGTTTAAATTTACAAACATTTTCTAACGAACATAAAGAATTCAGTTTAGATAATTTCCTTCGAAATACAGTCTTTAAAAACAATTTTATGTATTTTCTTTTACTATGCAATGAATTAAAGTGTTTCATGTAAGTTACATGCAAATAAAGACCAAAGAATAAAACATTTGCATGCCAGCTCGATATTATAAAATCATACTATAAATATTTTTACAATCTTTTACAAAAACAGACTGATGTGTAATACCAATCTTAATAACGTGACTTGCTGTGCTAACCGCGAATCGCTCAACTATTAAAAATATTTTCATTTTGTTCAACTTGAACAGAAGCAATCTAAAGCTTTTCAAATACCTATAAATTCTGATTGTGTGAAATATTTTAATACTTCAAAGTGTTCCATTGTAAAGCACAAATTGAGAAATTTTCTCAGCTTACGTTTTAAATTCAAAATTATAGATAAATATACAAAACAAATGTTTGGTCTTTGATTGTGGCGAATAATTATTTTAAATAAAATTGCAAAACGCTGTATGATAGATATAGGAGATCACGCAATTGTGTCGGTATTGTATATTATTTTCAATGCGCAAGGACTTGTAACGTTAGTCTATTATTAAAAGATATGCTATTATTTACAGTATTCAACAATAACGTAAAGTTATTTATATATGACTTAACAAAAGAAAAAAGAAGTAAAATCAATTTGAGAATTTTAATTTCGGGTTCTATTATAATGTTTACCTCCTTTTCTTAAATATAGATTTTTTTCAAATTTTCTCAATAATGTAAATTAATCATAACCTACTGATAATTTAAATATATCACTTTCTATAGTAATGTAACTGACACTACGCATGAATATGTTAAATGTCTATGCACGACGCAATAAAAAAAAAAAAAAAAAAAAAAAAAAAATTTTCAATACTTTCGGTAGAACAATTGAGTATTAGCATTCATAATTAATATGAGCATGTTTTGTGTATACTAATATTGCTATAATACTCACCTAACTTTCATACTTAAGCTAAGGAATTTATCCGACTATTAATTTTTAATCACAATTTTATTCTTCCCAATCCTCTATCTTTCTTTTGGCCCAACTCTTACCTATAACATATATAATATTAAAACTGACATTTTAAAATATAATTCTTTATAAATTTTCTAATTCAATTAATTTTTTATACTTTAAATATAAAGTTTCAATATTTTTTTACATTAGATGGAAGTAAGCATTTTATTTATCGTTATTGTATCTAAAATAGAAATGATTGCTTCCGATTTATTAAGTGCTTGTTTTTATTTTAATTATAATTATAAACTTAATATAACTAAATGTTCAGGAGCAAGGTCCAAGCTTAAATCAATGTTACCATCGCAGCTATAAATTTATTGTAATTGCATTGCTTTGAGATGAATAGAAGTCATCGGAAATATGTAGCGGAATATATATTTTTTATTACATACAACGAAGTATCTGTGATGGGAACAGTTCGCACACAAATCAGATAAAAAAAGTGTTTTAGAGAAAGTTTATCGGACGTAGAGCTGAAACACATATGAAGTAATATAGTGCTATTGTTACAGATGCGCAGTCGCATAGTAAAATGTTTTGAGCCCTTCGTCCGCTAAATCATTTATTTCTATATTTGTCCACTGTTCAACTGAAATAATTGTTTATGCCTTACAGTTTCTGTTTAATCAAGCTGTGATTGTATTTCTATTCATATTTATATATAAATATATATATAATTGTCCGTATGTATATGTACGCGCGCGTCTGGATATACTTTTTTTAAATTGCTTCTTGTTGATTTTAAAATTATATTATATTTAAAATATTATGAATAGTATTATATAGTTTTAAGCAAATTACATAGCTGTTTCGTGTGATAGATTCGAGCGAGGAATTGCTCAATTGTATTATCCGTATTAATTTTTAGTTTACTATTATTATTAATGAAATATGAAGCAGCTCGACCAATGAATATAACAAGAGTCGAGCTCCGTTGTAATTATCATTAAATTTATACCGAAATGTTTTGCGTACTTCAGCTAAAGGCATGATCACAAAGAAGGGCTCGCAGGTAAAGGAATCAACCGACGGAAGCACAACGCTCGAGGATGAAGAAGTTAAAGGTAGGATTATCAATTTAATTCCTAAAAATTTCACAGATTTGGCGATTTTTTGAATAATTGCCAATATTTGTTGTTAATAAAATTTAATATGAACGTAAATTTAAATAACCGTACTTACAACTGTTATTAATTATAATATTAATTTATATAATTATAATTTATACACACACACACACACACACACACATATATATATATATATATATATGCGCGTGAGTGTGCGTGAGCGTGTATTTATATATATGAACAATAATAATCTTAAGTAAAAGTTTCGATAGGTACTTTTAGTATAGTGAATGATATAAAAGTTTTATTAATTTATCAGTTTTGGTGCTTTGCAATCAAGTATTTTACTGAAATTTATAAGCTTACAGTTAGTGTACAGTAGTATTTAAATTATTATAAATAATGAGTAAAAATAGTTAACGAGAAAAGATTTATCTTTTATTGATGCAAATACAGCAATAAAAGATTTTAGATCTCAATTGCTTCATTCATAAAAAACTTGTTTTCGATATCTGTGACTACTATCATTATCATACGTGTGTAATTAGCCCTCGTTGTGTACTCTTGTAGACGACATTGACGTATATCTAATAACCTGCAGTACATTATAACCACCAAATAGCCATTCTATTTGTCTCTACATTTAAACTCTTAAAGTTATCACATAATCATGCTGTAATCATAATTGTAATCATGTAATGTAATTGTAATAATCTCTCTCCAGATTAATATTTATTCAATTGATACGTGCCTAACACGTAATACTGCTTGTATTGCGCTCAACACACTTACATGTTACTTAACGTAGTTTTGATTCTTCTTTATATATATATATATATATATATATATATATATAAACATGTATGTATGTGTGTACATATATATATATATATTAATAAGAGGTTACGAAATCAAATAAGTATCATTTCTACAAATTAAAAAAAAAAAAAACTGAAATCCGACTGCTAAGCGTAAGCCCGCATAAACACATAAATATAATACACATACATGCTCAATGCAAACGAGCATATCATTAATCACGCACCATCCCAATCATCGAGCAAAACGCGATTATTAAAACCAGAAAGCTCTTGCTCAATTGCAATCTTCAATAATAATTCGACCGCGACCTCAAAACTACTCAAACGAAATCTGCGAGCATGTCGTGACGTACATTTACCCATTTGGCGCTCCGTTACATATCGGGCGTAAAGATACAAAAACTCGATCGCTATGTAAGTCGCTGTGAATGCATTGACGAATGGACGATATGTGGACGATGCCGTGTAATGACGGGCTCGAATCAATAAGCGAAAAATACCATGATAAATGTCGCTCGCGCCGCAAGAGTATCTGGTTTTCCCGTAAATATGTGCAATTACGTATGTGCATTGACGGTTGCACACTCATGCACCTGTGTACACGAATGATACGGGCATCCTTGTTTAACGCACGATCGCAAGTGCCTCATTTATGTATTTCCATTGGTATTCCGTGTATGTTACCTATTTATTCTCTCTTGCTCTGCTCATCCCTATACCTTATCTCGTAATTTCCCGTATCTCTCCCTCTTTGTCACCAGTTATCTGTCTTTCTACCTTTCTTTATCTTGCGTCTAATAATCTCCCAATCCGCATATAGCTTATGCACGTGTCCCCATCGTGTTTAATGCGCCAAGTATCATACATCATAGAACATACCCATAAATACAAATGATGACGAAATATTTTCCTTATACACCCCATTTTATAAATTACACCCCATTTTATATTCAGTTCATTATCAGTATTGATAGTAGAACAGTTGTTATGCAGAGACACTGATTAAATTACCGACTAAATTGACAATGAGAAAATTGAATTTTTTTTTTTAATTGTGATACAAAAATAATAGCGATCCCTCTGTATAATTTTATGCATCGATATTATTTTAAAATTTTGGAAATGATGCTCAAAAATCCATAACACGTAGTTGAAACGCACTCTATACGTCTTCGATCAACACGCATGTAAATGAAATGAGGAATGAATTAAAAGCGATTAATGCTGAAGTACGTGGCTAATTAATGGTCGCAGATCATCTGGTTTCTTTGTCTTTTTCTTTCTTTACTATTATTAAAAATGTTAGTTATTTCTTTTATTATCCATTGAAGACGGGCTCAAAGCATCGACCACCACTTTCAACTACCAAGAATAAATAATGTTGCTTCAATAAATCATACTCAACACTAAATAGATTTTCTATGTTTTTGTGCTTGTTAGATTTTTATTATTATTGTATATCACTGGAAAATGACATAAAAATCATCATTATTCCTAGAGTTATAAAAATATATCAAATAAACATTCGAGTAATTATTAGACCTTTTTTCTCTAATATAATATTTAGCTATTTACCGTATATTCTGTGTTTAAATCTATCCTATACCGTACTATGTTCTATTGTGAATCCGATTATAAGGTCAGCATTAGTACAGACTTTAATAGATTTTTTAGATATTTTTATAAGATGTATTGACAAAGGATATTTATAATGAATAGTATATAGTACATGCAATACAGATGGGAAAAGTTACTTTGTAAGTTATTATAATTAGTTAATGCGCGATCCTTTCTCCAAACAACATCGTACGCCATATAATAAATATTCTTAGTGTCACCCAGTCATTAAATCTATCTTTTTATACATTAAATTAATCGTTAAATATATACAGTATATTTTCATTATTTTCAGCTTACTAAACACCTTACTATCTTATATTATATTTTATTTTATGAGTATTTTATTAAAATGACTACAGCTATAACTTAATTTATCAACATTACAATTCTCAAAATTTATTACTCTAATAGAATTTATATTTGAAAAACTAAAATATATGTGATTAATGGTAGTAAATTATATATATAATAATAGTAACTTAACCGAGATACGACTTATTGCATATATTTGTATAAAGTCCCTTAGGGACGATAGTTTGTAGATTGAATGTATCAATGTATAAACATGATTTTTAATTAAGATGAATTATTGATGTACGTGAATAAGAAAAGAATAAGTAACAATTAAAATATATGAACATTTATTTTACATAGATTAAATATTCGAAATTAAAGTAGCAAAATTAAATTATTTGTGTTTTATTACTATTACTAGCTGTTATCTACACTTTAATATTCTGCATTTTTATATGATTGCCTTTTTCAAAATTTCAACTTATTCTTCATTCGCTTACTTTCACAAAAATATCATTTCTGTTCCGACACTTTATTAGGAGATAATTATTTTTATATTTTGACATACATTATTCTATCAGAAAGAGCCTTTTTGATAGAAATAAAATTCAAACAGGAATGATCATCATTACTATTTTATGAAAATTACAATCAATTGAAAAAATTCATTTCTTTTTTTTTCTTCTTTATTCTGTAGCTCGACAAAAACCTTTTTTTTTTAACGTATTTATGTGTCAATATTCAGAAACACCTCAATGACAAAAAATATACAAAAATGCACTACTTTACTTTTGTCCTCACGTGTCCGTCTAGTCCGGTGTTATGGATTTATGAACACCAGATTTTATATGGTCCAATTTCACATTGTTACTCCCCTTAGCTCGTAATCGCACTTTTGCATTTGATCTGTATGAAGTTCAAATATATAAATTATAGTTTACATGTCTGTTTGTTCGTATATTTGTGCGTGCGCGCGCAAATGTATTTGTGTGCTATCGCGCATGTATACGCGTATAATAACAACAGTTTTATTTCACATTAGTCTTTTCAGACAAAATCTAATTGGATAACAATCTTGATCAAACATTTAAGTTGTTTGCATGTTTTCTTCACTTTTTAAAAGCTCAAAAGTTATATCTAAAAAAATATATTATAGAAAGTTGGAACGAAAATTTTATAAAAATAGTTGATTGCAATTAAATTTTCTTATGCAATATATCCTTAAGAAATGAAAATTATCTATATAAAAGTATTTATACATAATTTATTGCATGCGCTTTGTACTATATAATTCCTGTATTAACTTCTCTGACGCTGTTATCTTCTTCTTCTTTCTTTTTTTTTTTTTTTTGTTTTTTGTTTTTTCAATAAACAATACTACTATTATGTAAATAATGGTTATTTCATTATATATGAGAATGGTAATAAAGTTAATATATAAATGGAGTTTGGAATATGAAGCTGCTAGTGAAAGATATGCTAAGGTTGTGTTATATTGCAACTGTAAGTGGCTTAAAAGTATAAAACTGTAACCATATTATAAATAAAAAAGTTAAGAATAACAGATGATAAAATAAAGAAGGATTAAAGGTGCGCTAATAAATGTATAGGCTCTTAATGCAAAAATGAAATTTTAAAAGAAATTGAATATTATGATGACATATAATAGTCGTATCCGTGATGTGTATGTGTATATGTTGTACAGAGGATAAGAAGGGCGGTGTCGATCGGAGCAGCACGGTCATTGCCAAAGAACCCGAAGGTAACCTCATCTACACACCAAACAAACTCTTTGATGTTTTTAGTTTTTGATCATTCTTATTATCAATTATCTATCTATTCATATACGCCAGCGCATACACTCTAACAACGAAGCTAAGCTAAGCGCGTAAGCGATTTTAACGGGCAATCAGAGGCTTACTGCAGTTCATAACGCCATCATTTGCTTAACGTCGCTCGTTGTCACGCATCGATTACTATTCCCGGGAGCTCTTTTCCCGATGAAAATTTATAACCGTCGAGCGCTAATTACCTTGCTGTACACGTGTACTGCAATGTCCATGCGGCGACGAAGTGGCGTTTCAACGAGGCGACGAGGCTTTTATTCTTTGTTTTCTTCTCATTTACACACACACATATATATATATATATATATATATATATATATATATATATGTATATATATATATATTTATTTTTTGTTTTGTTTTGTTTTGTTTTTATTTTAGTTTTTTGTTTGGCTCATATTAAGCGCGAAGCTCGAAATACTTTAAACATTAAATATAAATGAGCGTCACGCTGGTTGAATTAATGACGAAACTGGTGAGTGCCGACTGGCTAATCCGATCAAACAGCAAATACTTTCGAGGTTCGCGCGAGCGAATGCGCTTAACGATCGTCACATTCAATGGACAATCAATGAATATGTTCATTTATTAGCGATTTCTGCGACTATTTTCGCCACCTTCTGAGTACAAAGTTTCCGTACGCGTCTACCATCAATTCAATTAAACTAACACACGATATTATAATTCTGCAAGGTGTGAGTCGTGCCTAACCTACACTAAAAATGTAACTTGTGTCTAACAATGAATTAACAATACTCATTTCTCAGCGAGCAGTGATTGTATATAATGCAATGAAATGTAACGCTTTTCGTTTTGCGTCGATAGTACCGTGTGCCCGGATCGAAAGCGTGCAAATCCACGGCATCGAATGGACGCGCGTCGTTGAGGTATGAAAGACTCGTCGACGATGTACAGCCAAGAGTCCAAGGGTCGGCTCGCTGCAACGCCATCACGTGGCATTATTTTCGGGTGGCGCGCGTTCGCAAATAGCTCGCGGCCGCCAAACGGAAATACCTGGCCGCGCTCGAGGATCCAGTCCGAGGCAGCTGACTCGAGCAGCTGGCCATCGCGTGCGCCGTCGAGAGCCATGTCGAAGCTGCCGGGAGCAATTAGACAGTCGGACTGTGAGTTTTCATAAAGTCGCCCCTGCCTAAGCATCACCTCCATCCGCCCGTCCATCATTCATCGCTCGTCCCATATCTATCTCTCACCGTCTGTGGGTGAGAAGCAAGCGCGCGACGTAATTCTGGGAGATTGTCAACGAATGCTCATCCTGAGCCGTTGCGCGTTAAATGTGAATCGCCAGTGCGATGATGAGCTTACTCGGGCGATCGCATAATCATCAGTGTCGAAGATCCGCTGGTAATTGGGAGATTTTTATGACGTATGGCCCGCAGACATTCGAAAACTGGAACAGTTACCCGAGCCACCGAGAAGTAGCTCCGTGGGTCGCATTTTTGCCATAAAGTGGAAAGCTCGTCGAAGTCGTGTCGTACCTCGTCCGAGAATTTCGCTAGGATAAACATGCGCGCCAGTCTCGACGAAACTCCTTGGAAATCCGTACGTTCGCGCTCCCGACGCTTTCTCGAGTTCTCGCCACGCGGGCGTCGAGCGAGCTTGCTAAGAGATAAAAACCCTAGCTAATTAGCTAACGGAGTCGCTGCTTCTCATTCGCCGCAGCTCACCTAATCCGCTTTCTTGCCAATTCCCGCTGGCTCGACTCTTGTAACGCAGCTCTTCTTGTCCATGTCTTCGAACATCCCGCGCAGCCTACGGATCGCAGGGAACGCCACCCAGTAGTCCCGCCTCCGCAGTCTCGGCCTTCTCCAGGGCGGGCATGGCCCACAGCCAGAAACAGGCGCCCGGTAGTCCCCTCGGCATCGCCGCGGCCCTCCTGCAGGGCGCTCAAGGTAAACTACAGATGCTCCGAGGCGCTCAAGTGGGCCGATACGATTGGTGCCTTATAGCTCCTCGCTCTAACACCCCCCCCCCCAAGGCTTATTATGCTCCTCGTATCGACAATCGTTATTGCCGAAACTCGATTGGGATGTCAGCCTTGTCAGCAGTTGTTAACGTTTTGTGCCGACAGCTAAAATACGATCACTTACATATATTTGATTTTTTCTTTTCTTGTTTGTTTGTTTGTTTTTTTTTTTTTTTTTTTTGTTCTTTTACGACAAGCTGTGCAAATGTGATTGAAGCAACATTGTGCTGTTCACAATTACATCGTTATCGAGACGCTCAGAGCAAGTAGCGAAAGTCTTAAAGGAAGATCGCGTTAACGTAAAGAGTCGCATATCTTCATGAAAAAAGCTCATCAAAGACGACGTGCGAGTGCGAGTGACAGTAGAGTCTGATAGGAAAGGCGAGCTGCTGTGCCGTGTTTTGCTCTCGAACAGTAGCAGTGTCGTACGTGTGGTGGTTAAATTTTGGCTCTCCTTCAGCCTCGTGTGACAAATAATCTTTTCTCTTACCAGGATTATCGAGTAGTCAGCGAGCAACGCTCGTTTTAAGCTCGATTCTTTCCATCCGCTCTGCATGCCACCGCCCCGCGAACCTCCCCTCACTTCTTCCTTATCTCATCGAGTATAGAGAATTTTGAATATTTGCTTCTCGACTTTTCCAGCTCTCTTTGCATACTAATCTCAATTTTCCATCCCGTTTAACGAACGCAATCGAGATTTGAGCGATACACCCCCCAGCCCGCCCAACGATTGTCTCGTTTCATTTATTGCTCTCTCTCACACACACGCACACGCACACGCACACACGCGCGCGCGCGTGCGTACACTCTTACTCTCACTCTCCACGTGTGTGTTTGTGCGTTTGCTAGTGTACGATACTTCGAGTGGCTTGCCCTGCTCATCGCTAATTCTACATTTCCCCGCTCTATTTTAGCGCGAATTTCTCTAGAATGAACATTTTCTATGCACATGTCATTCAAGGACAGGGATGCGAAACAAATGCTGATCAAGCCCAATACAAAATATCTAACGAACGCTTTACATTGTATTTAAGATTGTATTTAAGAAACGAGTTGTAAATATTTTTTGAATTCATTATTATTTCTATCAATGGCCTTCGGCATCCACTACTCTACTGTATTACAAAATGATTATTGTTCACTTACAAGTGAAGATATTTGGTGAACGGTCATTAAATGGTTTGAAGCGCCAATGTAAAAAGTGAATATCTAGAAGAAACCCAGCACATAAAATGCTCAAGTACATTGTCCAGCAATACAGAGCCGGCGAACCGGTAAGCTGTGTGCAACCGTTCTTCTTTTAAAACTGTGCATGATTAATATTGTTGTTATATTAACGATTACGAATTACTCTTACCACTATTTATTTTTTGATTATAAATAGAATTTAATGAATAACACAGACGTACATAAAAGTATTTCTATTTTTTTTTATCACCATTAAAACAATTCAAGAAGTCTGTCCACTATACAATGCATGCAAGTAGAGAGCTTTGCTTTTCATAATATTTACATATTTTAATGTATTAAATTATTTAGTTTGAGCGCTTGGTTTTGTAATTTTGTTTTACACTTCCTCAGCAAGGCTAATAATTCCTAAAAAAAGCTAAGAATTCTAAGAGTAAGATATCTGAATAGTTGGAATAATTTTATATTATAAAGTGTAAGAATAAATTATTTTAACGCTCATTCAGAGAATTTTATTGTTAATTGCTCTTATAAATGTGTGAACATAATAATAATAATGTAAATTAGATTTCATTTGATTACTAATTATTATAAATTAATATTTAACCAGACAATTTTGTATTTCATTGGACAACAGAGTTTATTGAAAAAATTAACTTTTTCTATAAGTGTAACAAACTTTATTTCCAAATATTCTTTTTCTTTTTCTGTTTTTTTTTCTTTGTTTATTTGTAGGGACGAAGCACAATAATAATTATATTTAGTTTCTAAATTAATTATTTATAGTATATATTTAAGATCTTAATATTTAGGCAAATTCTATAAACTTTTGAACTAATTCTCTCCTTAAAAAGTATATAAAGTAAAAATACTTTTACGGTATTCCGATTATACTCGTATAAAAAAAAATGTTAATCTTAATTAGATTGTTTGTAAGATCATATTTTTGGTTTATAACGCAATACATTTTTATTGCTTTTAAAAGTTCTTTCTGTATATATACTGTAACGAATACTGAGTAATTGAAAAATAATTATTAACATTTATAATTGCAAATTACAATGTTAATTTGAGAAAAATGAAACATAATACTAAATTTCTCTGAGCGTGCTACTTTTTATATGGATAAATGTACCGTAAAAATCTTTTGAATGTATAAAATATCACACATACAGGAACGTGTAAATGTAATAAAGTTTTAGAATTGTGTGATTTACAATGAAGTATATAAAATAGAAGAGCATGAAAAGAAAATACACAATGAAAGACAAAATATAGTAGCGATTCCCATTGCTAAATGACGAAACAAATGTATCTATTACATTAAAATTTTCCAAAAATAGAATCATGAAATAAATATAAGTTCAGCGTTACTTTATGCAACAATATATATATATATATATATATACTTTTTACGCATTACTTTCTCCAATAGTCTAATTGTTTAAACATTTTATTGATAGATTATATTTCAAAATCACTATGTCGAATCGCACAAATCAAAATGTCTCTATTTTGAAAATTCTGAATGTGGTGCGCTATGCTATTATATATGTAGATAAAAGAAAAGCTTCGAAGTTTAAAAAGGCAAAGATGGATGTCGATTTAAAGACGGACGAGTGTCTCCTATTTTTGTCGAGTGTCATGGTACAAATGTCTTCCGATTCATTTCTTAAAAGTGGCGTAGCGGAGCCTCTAAATTTCAGCAAAACGCATGATATAAGCTCGCGCACACCCTGAAATTTATACTGCCGATAATGGGAATTCGCTGCTATAATTCGTCTGTCTTGTGCGAGATTGAACTTTAAGAAATCGGCAAGGTTGAAACGGGGACCCGAACGCGTTGGATATCAGATGAAGCGGCTACTGTCTCCCGGGGAAAATCATTGTTGGCAAATTGGTTGGTTGTGTGTGATTTAGCGAGCGGGAGCGGAAGCGGAAGCAGTTCCAATCAAAGCAGCAGTAGTAACAGCCAGAACAGCCAATGTGGCACATCGCCCTCGTGTATGGCTTCACCGGGATACCTCAATGCCGACGACGTTAACGTCAACAATGACAACGGCCTGTACGCTTCAAGGCGCCAGAGCTCTGCAAGCACCGGTCTGTAGCTCTCTCTCTCTCTCTCTCTCTCTCTCTCTCTCTCTCTCTCTCTCTCTCTCTCTCTCTCTCTCTCTCTCTCTCTCACTCACTCACTCTCTCACTCAATCACTCTCAACACACACATATATATATACCAACTATGTATACATATAAATATTTTATAAGGCACATTTATACAACCACCTATGACATTGTGTGCCGCACTGCAAGACTTTGAATAAATTTGCGATCCTTTTTTAAATTACTTAATTATGGAGCGTTTGATAATTTTAATAAACATTCAATTTAAGAATATTCAATATTGTGCGCACGCGTACTTAATGTAAAATGTTATAAGTCAGTGTCAGTCGATTTCCGTCCACATCATATATTTTGCTTCGGCTAATCATACATTAAACATATGTACGCGTTATATTTTCAAAGACAAATGACTCATCAACCCTAATGAATTAATTGCTAAAGTCAATTCATCAAGACATTAGTGAAATACGTTGTTGCTTTCATTATAAATATACATTTCGCGCCATACGTTACACACAAACTTTTCTCGACAATCTCATCAGTTATTCGTAAAAGCTCGCAAGAGCTTAAATACTCATATGCATTACGTTCATTTTATAATAATAGCTCGGCATACCTATCTGTCAGAGTCTCACATTGAGCTGAATAACCGTGTCCGCGCACGTTTTTCTCTCAAATATTACAACTTAATTCACCTTTTTATAATTAAGCTACTCGCTCGTTTGCTCGTTTCATGCACTCTTCCTAACGATTTTGTAAGGTTTTCGAGCGCCAACTTCACAGATATACAAAATCCTTACGTTGTTGAATGGAAGCAAATTGGCATCATTACTTTATTGCAAAATTTGTTTTTAAAGAAACTATTTGTCACGTATTTATGTTCTTCACAGAAATGTGCAGACGAGCGAACCAAGATATTCAATCTTAAAGCAAAGATTTATTTTATTTCTCTTATTAAGCACGAAGGTATTGATTATTAAGTAATATTCGGACTATCGTGTAATTATATTTCTTTGAGAGGTTTTGCCATTTAATCGTCAATGTGATTAATTTTGCAGATTTAATCGTGTTTTATTTTATTTTCAAAAAGGGTCTTTCGGAAGCGTTGAGACCGATTAATTAGATTTGTGAAGCTCCGCAAGCTTTTCTTCAATAATTTTTTTGTATCTATCGATCGATCAATTTTATAAATCGGATGAACAGCATTGTTTGTAGCGGATGCTTTTTTCACGAAAGGAAAACTTTGCCACATTCGCGCTCGTAGCACCGCGATCATAACAAAATTTTCTTGCAGCGATTTGCCATAACGGCACTACATCGTAACAAAAATCAATAAATCAATGGGTGAAACATTATTAGCTTTAAAATTACTTACGAGAGTGCATGTCTCAAACTATTACGAACGATAGTTTTTGCAACAAATAAAAAGACAGTATTCGTTTCTGCATGTTTACACGTGTGTTTGCGCTTGTACGTTGCATGTGCATCGAATTGCCAATCCTGAACAATCTATCCAGAGCCTGAGGGATACCGGCAGACTTCGGAGGGCTACGTCCAGCTCGGATGCGATCCAGAAGACGGTAAGAAAGCCGCCACCATCGGTAAGAAGGTAGTTGACCATAAGAAGGCAACGTCGAGTCAGGAGGACGGTTGCTGCCATTTGAGGCTGTGTAACTTGTCCTAACGACAATTCCCTCTCATGGAATTGTCAACGTACGCGTCTTTTACCTTTACCTTTTATTTGTAGTTTTTTTATTGTATTTTTTTTATTTTTTTTTTTATTTTTTTTTTTATTTTTTTTTTTTGTTTCAATTTGTTTTTTCATTTCAATCTTGTGGTGAAATTATTCAACTTTACTTTACCTTATTTTTCTTCTTTATTTTTTGTCCCGCGTAATTGTTCTACTTTTCATTAATAAACGACAAGTCGCTCATTTCAGAAAGTGTTCTAATTCCGTTCGCGGAACTTTCGAAAGCGCGCACTCTGCAAAGTGTTTTTCCGGGATACATTGACAAATGCTTGTGTTTACTAAGCGAAGGACCAAAGATAATGGCTGGTAAGGCCGGCGCCCACGATCGAGGCTCCTCGATTGCGCCAAATTCAACGCGCTAAGAGTTTAATAATGCTACTTCGAAACCTACTTTCTCTCGGTTTTATTTATTTTTTGTTGTTGTTGTTTTGTTATTTAAACATATGTCGAATTCGATATTCTATAAGGACGAGAATTGATTGCCGAATGGCAATTCGTAAAATTACGGGGCGCGAATATGCCGCGACGTCGCAAGCATACAACTATGAATACAGTCGTGGGTACGAACGAGGTTATCGGCCTCATTTATTCTTATATTATCGAGTTCGTGTGACAAGAGTGATAGAACGAGGTAAGAGGATGTTGAGAGGAAGAATTTTAAGAAGAACAAAGATTGAAAATTACGAAGGAGACTTGTACCTCTCAGTATTTTGCCATTAGAAGGCAGACAGTACCCTCAATATATTTATGAACTTACAAGTAAATATTCCTGTACCATTCTCTTATTTTCCCATACACTCTCTGTACCCCCTCATTCTTACACTTGCTCTGTCCTTACCCCTCTTGTTCTCGTGAACGACATGTAGCATCTCGTTCTTGTTTCTCGAGATCATCGACTCGCTATCGAGCGACAACAATTGAATCAGAATGTTTATGTATGAGCACAATGATTATACGAAACGTATATCATGTATAGCGGAATAAAAATTTAATACAATGTAAAATGTATAAGAATTGTACAATTTAGAATCGCACTTGTACGTAGAATTAGTGTATTATACATATGTAGCTATAACACCTGTTAAGTTGTATATACCCACATTATATGTCGGTTATGTCTACAAACAAATAAATGACTGGAATAAAAAAAAAAAAAAAAGTGGCATTGTCGTCTAATCGCGCTATATGTATCCATTTGCCTATTGTAGACTTGCAGAATTCCTTACGTCCATAAGAATTTACGAAATACTTTGGAAGTAAATACTTGAAAGTAATATCCTCCGATAGCTAGCTGCTTCTTTTGGTAGCCTTGCATTGTCCTAACTTTTTCAAGTTTACTCCCGTTTTTTTATCTTTCTTATTTTATTTAATCCCAATCAACCAAGGATTTCGTTCCCATCTCTATTATCAAATACTGCGGATTCGTGGAAATTTCCAATTTAGCCAAAGTCTCTTTAATTCCTAGTAAGCGTTAAAAAGTAAAGAATTCGATGTAAAGCTTAGATACTCGATGTGCCTCGAAAGCTCTCTCCATTATCTTTTTTTTCTATTTTTTTTTCTTTTACGAAAGAACTTGCACACTAGAGCAGGTAGAGGTACAATTTCAGCATGGCTATGCCAAACACTTCCTTTCTCCACTCTGCGGGGAAATCAATGGCTAGATTAACGCACACTATACGAATGGAAAATTGACTGCGGCAATGGCTCTCGCCATGTTCATACAAACATTTTACAGCACGTATGGCGCATACATTGGTACGGGAACAAGTATGTATAGGTACGACTTACACCTTGCGCGAAATTTTTTCTCTTTGTATACATTTTCTGGCTGAGCACAGAAGTTGAATGAAATGACAATGAGACGTACGAAGGCTTGATAAGTGCTAAGATCGCCGCGGGCTTGTTCGCTGGCTTTGTTCATCACGCAGCGGAAAAGTCGAGTCGAGCTTGATAAGGACATTTGAAAACACGCGTCTCATCATTCAAGGCGTCCAACGTGATGAAATCTTTAAATTTCAAACAATTTTAGTCGCTATGCGTACTTCAAGCGCTTTTACAACACTACTGTTTCCCTTGATATTTACAGCACAAAAGCATTTACCGCTACTTTGGCTCAAATCCTTTTTATTTTGCTTGAAGTTTACTCTCTTCTTCTGGCCGCGTTTACATACAATAAGATATAGACTGTTTACCTATGAATAATAGGACTGTAAATTGAACGAATAAGCCGATCAGAGTGAGTATTTTTCAATGTCGATAGCAGAGCTCAACTCGACTCGATAAGGTACGATCGATCGAGACTTCCATAAACGGCGCAGACTAAAGAAAAATTAAAGATTAGCGGTCTATGGCACGATCAATAAACAGCTCGTGAAAATGACGATGGATTTAAAAAGCCTCGAGTAAGTAATCGAGAGTGAAAAACTTTGTAATTAATTAAAGTCATAAGCCAAATGTTATCCACGTGACGCTTTGTTTTGTTCTTGAGCCTTTCGACAGTGACGCAAGAATGAAAAATGCGTCCTTAAGTGGATTTATCCTTTAGCGCGCGAGACTCGATGAGAGTTCGTAGCGATTCACTTGATGAGAAGTCTCGGTTCGGATACTGATGAAGAGCTTTTAAAATTTTTATTTGGTAATCAAGACACGCGAATCATCGAACCCTCGGTACGTTCGGTGATACAACATCTACTCACTTTTACAAGCACACAAGATTATTTTGAGTATCCATATTGAGATGCTACGCGTTGTCTTAAAAGAATTATAATATTGCTTGTAGACATACGAATCGTCTGTCCTATCAAGACCTGCAGCCAGCTTTCAGCGAACTCACAGTGCTCAGGTAATGCGCAATTCGTAGTCCAGGGACGCCCAGACGTGGTCCTTTTATAATTGCGTAGCTCAACGTATATGAAGTGTATATATATATATATATATATACACACTTTATATAAGTGCATTTCGATAAAGTAGTTTTATTAATACTGCATTTACATTGTCATAAAAGAGAGATACATATCCGTGCGCGAGAATTATGCAATTATAAAATTACAGCTGTTTAATAAATAAAATCTCTTTCCTTTAACTTCTTGTATTGAACAAAAAATATTATTTAAATAAATTTAATTGTTTATTTCTTATACATAATAGTGCAATTTATATACATACATTTTGCATTAATAATTTATTTTCTTGTATGTCCTTGAATATTTATTTATTTTATGCGATATTAAATAAAATAGCGTAATAAAATTCCTAGTAGTTCCTTAATCCAATTCGCTGAAACTGTACATGCTAACCTTTTCGGAAAAAATTTATAAAGATATTCGTTTTTTATTTATATTTTATTTTTTTATTGCAAATATTTAAATTCAACAAGATAAAGTTGCCATTTAGATTAATGAGCGATTTATCAGAATAATAGAACAACCACTGATTAATAACAATTATTAAACAAAAAAAATTTTTTTTTTTTGGTAGATATAGTGGTGGTCACGTTAATATTACGTAAATTAATATTTAATTTTATTTCAGTATACCTGTTTAATATTTGAAAAGAATTGCTATTATGTGAATATGATATAAAACGGAAACGCTATTTTCTTATCGTAAAATTTATAAAACGAGAGATTATAAAAATTATAAAGCAGGAAACAAGTAATTATAGCAATAGAGGGCAATATGTTGGAAATGATAAAATGGAAAAAATAATTTATTGTGTCAGTATTGTGAAAAAAAGTACGTCTTGGAAAGATAAAATTTAGTATAAATATGTTTTGAGTTATATTGTGAAGGCATTAACGTTTGAAATATTAGAATGTTAAAATTCAATTAGTCACAGTATTATTTTCGTATCGATTTTCATTTTTTTTTCTTTTTTTCTTTTTAATATAAAGTAATGGTATAAATAAGAAATCGTAAAGTGAAATAATGAATTAATAAAGAATAAGTTAAAGTATTTGATTTTTCATTCTAATAAAATAGAGCACCAAATATTGTATATGTAAAAATAGTCATATTGAAAATTTACAAAATGTGCAATTATTAAATAAACTTGACCTTAACCAAATAGTCAAAAACAGAATTTCAATATGGAACATAATTATGCGTTCACAAAATCGTAGATTTTGATAAAAGATACGTGCATGTGGCTGTTGTGCTGTACATTATTTCGGAGAGAGTCCGACGACGAGGTCGCGGAACAATCCGAGCGTTTTACTGATCTTGACGTATTGACGATTACAGCTCGTCGCCAGGAAATCATCAAGATGACTGAGCAGCTCATCGAGAGTATCAATACTGGCGATTTTGAAGCTTACACGTAAGTCACGACTTTTCTTATTTACAATAACTTATTAATTATTCTCATAATATTTCGAATTCATGTCTTAAGAAAAGAATATCGTCATAATAAAGCAATGTTCATATGACGTTAATAAATTATTAATCTGTTTAAATTTTCATGAATCGAATAATTTATGTGAACGTCATCGTTTAGTTTCTAATAATAGCATTTATTATATTATTATACACATTTTATATTATAAGCATAGCACATATATTACAAGCAAGCTTACACGTGAGTCACAATTTTTCATATTAACAGTACCTTATTAATTATTCTCATAATGTTTCAAATTTATTTCTTAAGAAAAGAAAATCTTCATAATAAGGCAATGCTCATATGACGTTAATAAATTATTAATTTGTTTAAATTTTCATGAAGCGAATAATTTATACCAACGACATCGCTTAGTTTCTAACAATAGCAAGATATAATTAAAAAGAATCGTAAAAAATGGTAAAAAAAAATAACGATATTTATTTAAGGATATAGTGTAAAGATAGAAAAAAATGTCGTAATTAATTTATTAATAATTAATTGGTATAAAATTATTTTTGTATTAAATTGGCTAATAATACACTATAACCTAGTTCTGCAGAAAAGTTGTAATTGGCACATAAACTCTCGTTTTCAAAATATAAAGAATCAAAGGCCTACTTTACTACAAGATAATATAAAAATTTTTGAACATAATAGAAATTATATATTATCTTTTAAAATATTAATTTTTAAATGAAATATTTATTAGAAATTTTAATAAGAACTCTACATAATATATGTTTATGCAATTAATTATATTTACGTACCTAGCTACCTTTTCAGTTGTAATAAATTAGTTCTTAAATTATTTGAAACTTAATTATAAAGTAATTTATGTTAAACTATGTTATAAATTATAACAATAGAACGAAAATTTTTCAAAATTATTAGGCTTAAAATTAGATAATCTCAGAAACATTGTTTGATACATCTTTTCGCACATTACAGTTAAAAATAGTACCGTTAAATTAGAACGCCAAAAGCAATTAATTTCCCTCTTCTATAAACTTATAAAGTGATATCACTAAATTATTATTGTAATAATTTCACTAAATTTATTGGAAAAACATTTAGCAAAATTTTTTACCATTTTCATGAAAAAAATATATACGGGGTAGATTTTTATTTCTTGATACTAACAAAAAAAATTAATTCATTTCAATTTATATCGTTATTCAATTATTTAATTCAAAAATTAAATTATTAAAAATTGACTCTTTGCAAATACTTCAAATTATCAAAACTCTATACAATAACATATTAATTATATATAGTTTACTGTAATCATTCTTTATTATTTTCACTTATTAATTATCAATATTTTAAACGATTTTTTGGAACATGAAAAAATACTTTTTCAACAAATAATTTTTTTACGTGTAATACAAAAATATATGATATAGTGTAGAATAATGTAATTGTAATATAATTGACTGTTGAAAAATGGATTTCAGAAAAATCTGTGATCCCCACTTGACTGCGTTTGAACCCGAGGCTCTAGGTAATTTAGTGGAGGGAATGGAGTTTCACAAATTTTACTTTGATAATGGTAATTATATCTTATTTGCATTACACTCTGTCGCTGTAATAGCTTACTACTTATAAAACTAAATGTGCTTCTATATTGCTAAGCAGTATTTGTTTAAATGTGTAATAACATCTATCTTCTGTACGTAATTTAAATTCTATATAATAATTAATTTCCATCAGCTTCTTAATTTTTCAAATTTATGTTTTTTAGTGTAGATCTTATGGAGTAACTGATTTTATAATATTATATTTAGAATATTATCATCTCGATGTATGCATTCATAATGATATTTCAAAATATGTTCGCTCATAATCGAATAATTAAATATAACTGAGAATTAACATTCTATTGAAAAATATAAAAGTTGTCATGAATTGAAACCAAATTAATTAAACTTAAACAAATCGTATCTCATTATTTGTGGTATAATATGTAATTTGATTTATAACTTTGGATTTTGTCTTATTGCATAAAAATCGGGAGCATACTTCAATTTGTTCTTAATATTATTAAATTGAATATTAAATATTGAATTACAAATAATTAATAAGTGAAAAATAATGTTTAACAACTTTTACATGTTAAAGCGATTACAAAAATATTTGTAACACGTTATTTACGTTTATTATTGTTTCTTTATTTTCTATAAAGTTTAATATAAAAAAATTTTGAATTTTGTTATATTCTTTTTTTTTTTTTTGAATTGTAGGTCTCTTTTTATATTTATAAAATTATTCAGATTATACAAAATAGAAGCGCAAACCATAAGTTTGATCAATAGCTCGTATACCATTTTAAATTATTAAATTTAACTGAAAATGATTTTAACAAATTGCAATACGTTATAATACGTTTAATTATGTTATGCCGGTATAATTATTTTACAATACTTGACTTATATTTTAAATTATATTTATTTAATTTTTATGAAGACATAATGAAACGGGATGAATGATTACATTTACAAAGAATTGTATAAATTGGTATTTCGAAAAGCCCTTATGTTATACAATAAAGCTTCTTCATTATTCACCTCTTTATAAACTGTCTCTCTCTCTCTCTCTCTCTCTCTCTCTCGCTTTACCTCTTAGTTATTAGTTTTAATACTTTTTCCCTTTTTGTTTAAATTGTAAAATTAATTTTTATACACATTAATTATTTTACACACTCGATGTTATTTTCAAAAATATATAACAAGTTGTGTTCAAATAATTACGTGTGGATGAATTTATTAACTATTTACACGTGTGTGTATATATACATAAATATAGTACTTGGGAAGAACTGCAAAGCCGTTAATACAACGATCTTGAATCCTCACGTACATCTACTTGGCGAAGATGCTGCTTGCATCGCGTACGTCAGACTCACTCAATATATGGACAAGTACGTATAAGCTTATATATACATCCTCTTACGTAAGAAGCTTTCGATGATTACCTTTCAAGAATTAATGCTATTTGCACTATATAGAGGAACAAACATATTTAATAGTTTGCATACCCATATTGTTCACTTGAAAACGATTTCAAACATTTAACGAATAAATGTTTAATTTTCTAAAGTATAAAGTTTAGTTCGTTTCCTGTTAATAAACACAATTAATAAGATATTACTGGTATAAAATATTTGCAATTATAAAATATTTACATTTACATGCGATTATTGTTAATTTTGTATTTAAAGAATTCATATTCTACCTATATATCGAACAACCAGTATACACATAGTTATATTACATAGTAAATAGTCTCTTTAATTTTTCAAATAAATCTTTTGCGAGTATATTATTTGGTTGTAAATCATTACTAGAATTTTTAATGTGCTTTTTGATTATTTTGAGACCACTATTTTTTAAGCTTCGTTTAAGAACTGAAAATATAATGATCGATTTAAGTGTTAATATTAATTATCAAAATGATGCGTTGCAGGCAAGGAGTCGCCCATACTCAGCAGAGCGAAGAGAGTCGCGTTTGGCACAAGAAGGATAACAAGTGGCAGAACGTTCATTTTCATCAAAGTGCGGTCACAGGTCCTTCGCCCTTTTCTTTTCATAAGTAAGGGGTACGACGATCGGACGGACTCCGCCATACAATCAAGAAGCGGCAAAGAAGCAAAAGTTAACATACTTTGTTGTTCCATTGATGAAAGAAATATAATAATAACCTAGAACTAAATGCGCGATGCCAATTGGTGAGATTGGAGAGATGGAAAGAATGATAGAGAGTGAGTTGAGGATGTAAGAGTGAACATATGCGTGAAAGAGGGTTGCTGAGAGAGGAAAAGGATTGAGAGAAAGAGAAAGAGAGAGGGGGCGGGGAGGGGGTGTGAGAAAGTGAGATATCGAGATGGAAGTTTTCAGACTCAGTTACTCAGTCGACAATTTGTATGCATTTCATGCATGCGTTTAGGAAGGAAAAATGTCATGTAAGCTCGAAGAGGTGGGAGATAACGGTGATAAATGATTAATTACATCGTAAGAAAGCAATTAATGAGAAAATGTGAGATGTAAGGGACAAGCCGGGGAGGTTGTCTGATAATGCTTACCATTTATGTTTTTTAGTTAAATTAACAAATTTACGTAGGAAATTGCTTAGTGATCACTGACCAGATAGAGTCTTAAAATCGACGGTCGTGGCACTTAGTTGCGTTGGAAAATAAAATAGAGTCTCTTCGTCCGGCCCCGAGATCCTCGGAACAAGACTGCTATTGAAACGATGAGGCCCAGCATTTCAGTGTTTATTTAAGTGTAATCGACGTCATCGATGCATCAGCCGATTGCAAAATGAGAAAAGTAACGTGGAGGGAAAATATGTGAAATGATATTTAATGCGGGATGAAAGAGCTATAACCGCAAACACATGTTATTATAGAAAGCGTAATGGGCATATAAATTATGAACCCATGAATCCACGGGAAAAGGAAAATAAGATGAATTGTCCAACGTGTCGACTGTCGCTCAATTCGAGCAGAAAAGAAAGTATTAATAAAGCGGCCAACCAACTTACCGCCCTAGCCGTTAAAATAATAACACGTCGACGAAGGCAAGTTGGAGATGTGACGATGTGAGTAGCTGGAACAGAGGGCGGGCGAATTATTGTGAAGGAGGATGAAATTCAGTAATTGGAAGACACTCCGATCGGACCAATCGTCAGCGTTCCTCAATTGTTCCGCACTTGTTCATCTATTATCGATGATGGTACTGCACAACTTGCGCAAAGAATGACTCGACGAGGCATGAAAGTAATGCCGCGTTATTTATCGCTCAGAGCAGAATTCAATTTTATCAGAGCGAATAATTTAAAGGATAATTATTCGGAGCTTTACTCTACCGTAAGTGTGCGCGTATGTGATGGTGAGTGCATGTGTTATTAACTGTTTATGCCATATGTCTCGAAACTTTTACATCAGCGCTTCGAGCTTGTACGATTCACGCGAATTCACGCGATTATTCGTTTCTAAGTAACTAGAATTGATAAAGTACGTATAGAATGCAAGGTCGTCAATTTTTTCAAGAAGGCTAATGCATAATTGTAGAATTGCAAAGTAATGTCCGCAGAGTAAGCATACGTTTTATGATGTAGGATCTTTTTGAATGGACAGACATTCACACATCGGTAGAACCGTTCTTTTCCTTTCTAACCATGAAACTTTTCCCAATGAAACCCAAAATTTTCACCTACTCGTTACTTCGTCAAGTTTCAATATAACATCCATATTATATGTAAAAAAAAAAAATGCTCTCGATTAGTAATGACAGAATAGCCGAACTGATGTATTGGCTCTACAGGCTATGCGATCGACAAGAACATCGGCATCGATCACTTGACATCCCTTGAGCTTTAATAAAGGTTAATAATTGTACAGGAAAACTTTTGAATCTTCCAGGAATCATTTGCTTTAATTCGACAGTCGTCAGTCTTTAGTCGTTTAGTGTATATGAAATATGAAAGCACATCCTTAAATCAAACGGTTATTTATCCATCGTCTCGTATTAGTATTACAAAGATAAAAGAAAAAGTAAAATAAAGCGTTTTGTCAGATGTAAGGGGTAAGCGATAAGAAATGATTGGTAACCAAGTACTTTTCACTTACTTTATCGCCGTCCCAAAACAAACAGTGAAATGCTTTCCTTATAAAAATGAAAAAAAAGAATCACCATCACCCTTTCACGCGCATGTATATGTACATACATATGTTCGAATGTTTGTCATAAATAAGTAAATGAATTTAAAAATTGATGAATGACAATGAAAGACGTGCACATTAAAGATTTCAAAAATAATAAACAGAAAAAGAAAAAAGAATCAATACGAAAATATTCTTGGAAAAAAGTAAATTGAACTAAATAATTAATAAAAATCCGCGATCTATATAGTATCTCTCTTTATATAATAAATGTTATATAAATACATAAATATAAATTACATTAAGATAAGGAGTCGTAGCTCGACTTGAACGTAATAAAAAATTTTGGTGAAGTGATGGTAACCAAAATTTTTAAATCTAACATCACTATTGAAAAGAGCAAAATGAGAAAAAAGCAATTAAATTAAATTTTTATCGAATTTAAGTCCCTACAATATAAATCTTTCTACACGTTCGTACATACTTTCTATAGAATCTAAAATTAAGTATAAATGAAATCTCCATCTAAGTAAGGGAAGAATTCAAGGAACATTTTTGCCATCGTATATATATTATATATAAATATATACAATTTAATAAAAATTATGATAAAGTTATGATTTCATATATTGCAAGAATAAAAAATATTATATTAATATAAATTATATATATATCTATATATATATCTATATATATATATATATATATATATATATATATAATATAAATATAAATATGAATATAAATATAAATATAAATATAAATATAAATAAATATAAATATTATTATGATAAATAAATTAAAAATTAAATGAATATAGTTATTTCTACTATTCTGTAATTTGTCGCTTCTATGTGTGATTGTTGTATAAAGTATTTGCTAATCATTTTTTTTCAGAATTATTCGTGGTTTAAAATTATGTAGTCATTATTATTATTATCATTATTATAATTGCTACTTTTATTATTATTACTAGTAATATTATTATGATTACTATTACTATCATCATTGTCATCATTGTCATTTTTATCATAACCATTATTGTCATATTATATATTGTTATTCTCTGTCATTGTCATTGACATTGCAATTTTACTATTATGATCGGCACCGTTGCGCTATATCATTACCGATAATTGATCATTGATTTTTGATTATTAAATAAAAATATATTCATATACCGATCTAAAACAACTAATGTTACCAGAAAGAATATTGCAAATTTGATATGTGGCTGCATAATATGATTGTTGTATGAATATTGCGTGCAATTTCGTTTCCTACAATACAGCACATTAGCGTCATGTGCAAATTTATGAATTAGTCGATGCTCTTGAATACACGCCAGGATCCCCATGGCATTGTTTATATCTTTATTATTGTATTATCTATATTTAAAGTAAAAAAATATAATTATTTATTCTAAAAAGCAGTCGATTGCGCCTGAATAAAAATATAAGGTTTCTCTATGTGTGGCATTGACGCAATGGGAAGTTGGTCATGCTTAAAGTTGTGTTTTCTTGTTATATAAAAAAAAAATTTATTATCGCGGGTGATTGGGCCCGATAGATTCAAGCTCTCGGCTGAAAGTGTATTGTATATATTGTAAGCTTCTCAAAATTTATAAAGAGTTTTGACGATAATCCGAGGATTATGTATACTTTAACTTTTATTTATTAATAGATTTATTTTACAAATAATTAGAAACTTTATATTTAATAATATTCGACCTTATCTTCAATTCAAATTCTTATCGCACCATGAATTAATAATACAATAGCTATTCTTTTAAAAATATTTATGGTATGAGTAGCCAATTGAATGAAATTTTGTTTGTATGTTTTTTTTTTTTTTTTGTAGCTAGATAATGTATTACTGTACATAATAAAAATAAATATATATATATATATATATATATATATATATATATATTCAGGAAATTCATCAATTCTTATATATAAAATAGTTCCGTTAATATCATTGTTATATGTTCTCTTAAAACAATCTATTTGAAAAATTCTTAAAAATGATACATAAAATAAAAAACGTTAAAAATTTATTAAATTTTTGACATAAACTTCTTTATATAACAGTTTTCTAGTCAATCTTGCTTTCATCATTCTAATTATTAATGTTCGCAAATTCTATTGAATCATGGTATGGTAAATATACGACTGTCATTATTTCTCAATTAATGTCCCAAGTCAACATTTTTTATATCGTCAATTGTCATGAAAAAGAAATAAATATACTTTCAGCGAGTCAGAGCTTGAACGATCGCCTACAAGATTGAGATATTTAATACTATGGGTGTGTGCCACTTGTTGATTCAAGACTTTATAATACACCTGTCGCGTCTTCACAAAACACTAAACAAAATTACACTTTAAAAATTTTAACCTCTTAACGTATGTAATACGAAATATAAAAATAAAAAAAATTAGAAAAAAAACAAGGAAAGTTAAATAAATCAAATAATTATTGTCAAACTAAACATAAATATTTCATGTACTTAAATACTGAAACAACATACAATTACAACAATAGTCTTTCATTATTATTGTTACATATAAACAAAACTGTCATTTTATATATATACATATTGTAGAACTACTTTGCAATAAAGTTCTGAAACAGTTAAAAATAAAACCTTCCGAATCTCGATAACTTCTTTCAAAATGCTTCTATCAATCGAAATATTGTAGTTGATTTTAAAAGGTGCGACCCAACACGTTAAGCGGTTAAACGAATGTTTCTACATAAAAAGAAAGTTATAGGACAAGAAAAAAAATAGGGGGGATAAAAAAAATAGGGAGGATAAAAAAAAATAATAAAACGAATAGCTGGTTTTGCATTTGGTTCGGAATTACATGCATCGAAGAGGTAATAAGGAGGGTTAATCGATAAACAATAAGTAAGAATGACAGCGAGGATGTCAACGAGACCAAATTTTATGTGGACATCGACGAGCAAATAGGACGAGCTTCCGTTCTATACTCATTGTTTGGCCTAACTACTGTTGTTTCACGTCTATCTACATTCGGTACAGGTGTAACAATTTTACCGTATTGATGGATATCCCATATAATATATTAAAGATATTACGAAACGTTAGAGCTGTTACAATGTCGGCACGTCACTCACAATTGATTTGCAAAGAAGTACAGGTAGCGAG